ATAATAATAATAATAATTAATAATAATAATAATAATGATAATGATAATAATAATAATAACAATAATAATAATAATAATAATAATAATAATAATAAAAAGACGACGGAAACGAAAAACATGAGAAATTTCTGTATTCCCAACAATTTACATTACTAATTTTTGAAATATTTCAGAAATTATCAAAACATAAGGAAGTGAATATATGTATATTATTGGAAGCAAACAATTGTCATTATTATTATCATATTTATTAATCATTTTCATTCTATCATATTTAATATATCTTATCCTATCATTGTTAACATCAACCTTGCTGTTTCTTCCGTTCAATACATGCATAAATTATTTTATACAAAATCATTTCATATAAAAATTATCATGATACTAATTCCCCGTATATTTTAATACCTATCAATCGAAGATACATCACCTTTCGTGTGATCATTATTCAAATTCTCGTAATTTGTTTAAAAAAATTCACTAACATTTATTAATTTTTATTGAAAATTTTTCGAATTGTTAAGAAAAAAATTTAAACAAATCTAAATAAACAAAAATAATGTTGTAGATAAGCTAACAATCTTTTACACTTTTATAATATTTGTTATTAAAAATTAATAAAACCGTTTTTCATTTCGCTGTTATTCCGTTAAAGATTGATAATTTACAGGAAAAATAAATATATATGCAAATCATTATTCGAATTACTCATTAATAGATTGAATTAATTAATATCAATTGAATTGTTCCATCATCATATTGGTAATAATTAATAATTACTTTCAAATTTATTTCCTTCCCTCAATATTGTATGTATTTGTATACAAATAACTTATAATGATAAAAAAAAAATAATGTTGGAAATATTCCATTTGTTATTTCAATATTTTTTGTTTCATTCATTTTTCATTTGTGAAATTTTCACAAATATAAAAATTTGATTTTCTTCTCGTTCAAATTTTAACTTTTTCATATCATAAATGTTTTAAAATAATCAAATTAGAATTTTTTTTTTGTTACTGTAAAATATTAAAATATTGAAGGAGCAACCTACTTTTTGCTACAGTAACATATAAAGAAGCGATCGGTTTTATGTTTACATTATCAGTCAAGCTATGTTCAACTTATTAGTAGTAATGCTAAGTTTTAAGTTATATCATTAGCTAAGCTAACTTCAACCTATCAATAGTTATGATCGATTTTAAATTATACTTTTAACCAAGCTTAATAATAATGGCCTATTTTAATTTGCATTATTAGCAAGCTGTGTTCAGCCTATTAATATTCAGCCTGTTACAGTATTTCCAGAACAAATTTCTTGACAAGCTTTTTCTTCACAAAACATCGATTAATAGAGTGGAAAAATTTTCATATAGCTAATAGTAAAGAAAATTTTTACTCAAAAAAATGAAAATACAAAAAAAAAAATAAATGAATAACAGCAATATCTATCGGGACATTTTTTCTATCGGGACGGGACTTTTTTTTTTGTAATCTTGCTTTTTTGCTTGCTTATTTATGTTTTCGTTTTCTTTGAAAATTATAAAATATCAAAAAAATATTTTATGATTATAACAAATAATTGAATTTAATCCACTTATAAACTTTAAAATTTCATTCTAAAATTTGGAATACAATGAAAATATTCCGGAAATATTTTCTTATATATTGGAACAACAGTAAAATTCATAGCAATAAATTATTACAGCAAGAAAATTCTAATTTATCTAATTTGAATATCTGAAAATAAAAATTGTTTTTCTTTCGGAAAGTATAAAGCAAACAGATTATTTCGATTTTAGATATACAACGATTAAATGAATACAAATAAGATATTGTTTAAGAAACAAATATTGTCATCGATAAATTTTTTTGACTATGAAATTACCATAACATTGTAAATAATTTTTTTACATTATTTATTAGAATTAGATTTCTTTTTTTGTAAAATAAAAAATAAATTCATTTATTACATTCATTTCAATTTATGAGCAAAAATTGTTTGAAATAAGGCGAAACACTTTGATGATATTCAAATTAATGCTCATTTATCTGCAAGATTATCCAAAAAACAAATAATGTTGGTTGGATATATAAACTGTACAAGATTGAATTTAGCTGAAATTTTGATTAACAATTAATAATTTGTAAAAAATCTTAAATTTTATTCTAAAAAATTTTGCAAAATTTAACATGAACTGTTTTGTTGAATAAATTTTTTCACTTCTTTTCAACTTGATTTATAGTTGTTTTTTTTTCCCCAGTAGAAGTTTCATTTTAATTCTGCAACAATCTGAAAATAAGTCGATCATATTTGCATCATCATTTGAAGTTGGTTCATTTACATGCATATTTGTTAAATCACCTTTTGCACCTTTAGAAAGAGCAAAAATCAATTTTCAAGGTGGACAAAAAACGAGAAATTTATTAAATAAATAATATTGTATTTTTCTAAATAATAGTAACAAATTAGAACATTTATTGGTATCATTATAGCAATAATAATAACTATTATCATTATTATTATTATCGTTATCATTATTAATATTATTATTATTACTATTATTATTATTATTATTATTATTATTATTATTATTATTATTATTATTATTATTATTATTATTATTATTATTATTATTATTATTATTATTATTATTATTATTATTATTATTATTATTATTATTATTATTATTATTATTATTATTATTATTATTATTATTATTATTATTATTATTATTATTATTATTATTATTATTATTATTATTATTTATTATTATTATT